ATGTTATTTACGAAAGCCATCTCTTACCTTCGATGCAGCCTGAAGTAATGGAAGAACTTAAGGAGGCATGTGGTGGGCAGAAAGAGGACAATTGGCTTACCAAGGTGGCCTTCTTTGCTGTGCAGATCAGCAGGAATTGTACCTTACCTTCAGATACAATTCAGCATGAATAGGTATCACCAGCCTAAGGCAGAAGAGAGAGGAACTTTGTCTGCCTTGATACCTACATCCTGAATACAGGAGAGGTGTTAGTGAGGATTCAGCTGAAGAGAAAACAGCAGAGAGGGTCAGCTCTGGTTGCATTGGGATCAGAGAAATCCATTTCCACTTTCAGGCAGCAGATTTTGGTTTTGTGACAAGAGGAGTCTGAGATAAGCTGAAGGTAGTAAAAAGTGCAAAGGAAGACTTTCTGTAATTTTCCAGCTCATGCAAAATGATTTCCTTACAGTATGTGTGTTGTGGGGAAGGATGGGAAGTTTCAGGCAATTTAAAACAACTTGATACACTAGAATTGGAAGCGATCCTAACAAGTTGGAAGCTGGGGTTAGCCATTGTGTGAAGAAAGCTGAGTTTTATTTTGGCAAAGGAAATATAGAAAGAAAAAAAGAGTCTTCATATTCAAAACTAGATCCAGGAATACTGCAGCGATTTCTGTGGTTAGTAAATATTTTCATTTTTCTTACTCCTCCTCCTCCCCATCTTCCATCGTCTTCTTCCTTCTCCTCCTCTCCTATTCCTTTTTTGTTTGTTTGTTTTTCTATTATAATATCCTTTAGGCTGCAATACGTTCCAGTATTGCATAAGCACATTTTTTGGCAATGCATTATAGTGAGGGTCAGTGTTTTCCTACTGCCAATGTGACCACTTTCAGAATTATTTCACAAAATTAAAATATCTGTAGAGTTAAAGCTACAAAGAGACCTGGTCGAGAATAAGCCAGAGGAGATATAACATAGCATGAGAAGTTAGGAATGAATGGATTCATACATAAAGAGGATCTTGTCCCATTTATCGATGAATGTTTTTCTATGTCCCAAACATTGTGCTAAGAACTGGCTAAGTCCTAGCTTATGCATATCTGTCACAGCACACCTATGAGGCAGTTAAAAATTGCTGCCATGGAATTACAGATGAGAATATCGAGGCTTAAAATAATTTGTTTACAGAGTGTTCTTACAAGAGATACGTATACAGGATAAAAAGAGATAAAAATATATACCACTTGAGGGAGGTAAATCAGGTGAGATGGAAATCCCTAAAGCAATGAATGAATTTTACCCTAAACAGATAACTATGTTATGGACAATGAGCTAACACAAGATATGTTTATTCCAAAGTTCTAGTCAGCATCTGCATTATTCAAATTAATTATCAAAATCATGCCTTTAGAGTGAGCTTGTTATTGATAAAATTGTGGTCAATGAGAAGATATCAAGAAGAAAAAAAATGTCAGTATCATCAGATACTATGGTTCCCCTGCTGTATTTTCTTAAGCATAACCAAGCTATAACTAAGCCCAAGTTCATTATTTCTCTCCCTCATGTGGGCTGTGCTTAGAGAGCAGAGTTTTATGCTTTTTTCCCCCTCATTTCTCTATACACACAATTTAAGCATTTCAATATAAACCATGAAGATTCCCATTTCACCAGACTGTGCTCTGTCAGTGCCAATCTAATGTTTTACCTACAGTGTGCAAGCTGGAGAAGATCAAGTTTCTGCAGACCTCAAATTTCCTGCAAGCAAGATCTTTCAATATCTGTAAAAGGTCCATTTATCTTCCTTCTCTTGTTATATTTAATTGTTGGGTATCCTCCATTTCCATGGTTAGAATGGAAGCCAATCCTGAAATGTGGTTATCAAAACTCCCTGTTTATAAGTTCACCCAACTGCAAGATGAAGAAACCAATGTCTGTGTCATGTATTTAGAAAATTCAAGGAACTATGATTCTTCGGTGTGCACATGTGATACAAATGACTCATCATATTTTTGACTTTTGTTTCCACCTTTATCCATATGGAAGGTAGCTTTCATATTGGGGTAGAAATATGATTCTCATATATTTATAAAGAGAATTATTTGTGAAATCACTCAACTCAACTGTGCAGGGGACAAGAGACATCTAATTTTGTTTTTGATTATAAGTTTATCTGCTGAAAATTACATCAGGGTCAATCCATATGAGAGGAGAAAGATCACAATAATTTTCAGTGAAAGACATGGCTGCTAGTTTTTTTTAGAAAATGGCAGATACTGAACCCATTACCCCTAAAGATCAAATTAAATAGGAGAGAAATCCATCCACCACTTATGGACTTAAATATATTGGCTATCTCAAAATCTTCACGTTGCTCTGGTGGGCTACAACTCAGAACAAAGGATGCTGTCAGTGAAGAAATATCACCTTCTAACCATTTTGAAGTCCATCTTAAGAAGAAAAATAAATAAATATGGTTATACCATTTGATTCTACATTGCCATGTCTCCAGAATAAAATGTACCAGAGTTACAAGGTAAATAAATGTCTAGTATTTTTATTTTTTTGTTCTTTCATCATTAACAATTAATTTTTAATAGTCTTACAGGATATCTGGATATCTACCTATCTACCTACCTACATATGTGTATATGTATCTGTATATACATATATATCTCTCCAACATTTTTAATTTGACAATCTCTTTCCATTTCTTTAATTGTTTTTGCTTATTAAAAAGAGAAAAAAAAAGTGTTTTTTTCTATTTTCACAGTAACTATACAGATGCCAAAGGAGTTGAGGTCTATGGAGCAAAACTCAGAAATGTTTAATCTAGGAAAAAGGAAATAGGGTATAAACTTCACATATTTTTCCAAAAACCTGTGGGTTCATGATTTATTCTATGAAGAAGATATTGAATATTTGGTTCTAATTCCAAAACCACAGTGAACAAATCTCCTGCTTGCCACATGACAGTCTTGGTTTACGGTGTTTTCTAGACATAAATATAAACAGTGACCCCTTTCACTTTAAAAAAAAAAATGTCCCAGTGAAAATAACGAACACAATTTAAAATAAGCAATCATGACACATAGAATGCTCTTTCCAACTGAAGTTATTTTGGTATTCCTGGCATTTTTTTTTTTAATTTCACAAAACAAAAAGTAAAAGAAAAACCTGTAAGATAGGTCAAAACTGTAATTTATAGTTTTAAAATAAAACAGATAATCCACATGACTTTAAATATTCTATCACAGGGTTTATTGAAATGTATGATCAGGCAGAAGAAGGTTTCCTACATGTACAAATGTTTACTTTCTACTAATTCCCAAAATTAGAAAAAACAAAAGAAATTAATTCACTGTAGCATTAAATCTCCTCTTTAAAAGTATTATGGCATAATAAATAAAGATCAAAACTACACCCAATAATACCTGTTCATACATCAAAGACCTTATGTAGTGCCTTCCGGGGCCACACGTATAACAGGCATATATCTTGAAAGTACACAATGTACAGGAAACACCAAGCTCCAAATAGTTGGGAAGGAACAACATTTCCTCATGGAAATTTTTTAAACATAGGACATTTTATATGCAAAATTAATGACTGAAACTTATCAGCTCACAATCTAAATAAGCCTGGACCACATGTATACACAGACTTTCAGCTCAGTTTAAGGTTTCTGAGAGAGCTCTTTCTTAGACATATTCATGTAACTTCCATAAAAAATAAATTATGGCAATGTTAACTGAAGAGCAAAGACAATGTACTTGGATTAGAGTTCCTAATTAGGGGTGACTGACAAGTACTCCACTATTGAGGAGAAAGAACAGAATTTTTTCTCCTCAGTGTTTATAATAGTGGAAGCTAGCTAAATGAGTAATACCTACATAACAGCTTTCTCATTTCCTTTTCTGTGTTGCATCCACATTTATCAAAGCATCCCCAAAGAAATAAGTAGCATTATGTTAAACGGCAAGGCCGTAATATATTTAACACAAGCCATAAAATGTTATTTCATTTCATACAGGAAGTTTTATCAAAATATACTACTTCCTTTAAACAGAATATAGCAAATAATCCAAGCAGATATCACAAACCAAATTTTATTCTTCTAATTGAGTAAAGCTTGTATAGAGACCATTCAGAAATCTAAACAGATGCCTATAAGAAAACCAGAAAACCACCTGAGACAATAGTTATATCTTGCTAATCATTCTAAAACAGCTAAAACTAAGAAATACATTTGAATCAAAATAAAGTTAAAAGTCCTTGTTAAATATACAGCATCTTAGGAAACAAAAATGTACAGATGATATAAATTTTTTTAAAAAATGATCTATGGACTTTATATTTAATAGACAATAGTTAAAGGAAAAGGTATTCCAAGCTTGGTCCTCAGTATGTAATGAAATGGATTAAATTTTCTTTGTGAGCGAAAGACTTAACAAAAACATCAGTTCGTATTAGCTCCAAAGTAATACTGATAAGGAGTGACCTTCAAGAAGGATTTTCTGATATAATTGCTATTGTTAAAATTGGTACAGGCTTAGAACAAATGTCTCTAATGTGTACCCACAAACCAGGCAAAATTAGAATAGACTTTCCCTAAAGACCTGGTAAACATTCAATTAAAACTTAACAACTGCAAAGTGTGAGCCAGCTCCTCCTCTTACAGATATGTCAGTATCTCATAGTTCCTGGAAGCTTTCACAGGGGTTAAATTTTACTCTTCATTTCTGAAAATAAGGTGATTAAGGTATTCCCTGGGATAAAATTAATTTTCACATTAACAATTTCCTTATCTATTGTTTCAATATTGGAAAGGGAAAGTGATGTAATTACCATGCCATTAGACTGTTATGCTGGATTTCAGCTGCTCGTAGGTGAACAAAAATTATTTTAATGATATTTTCAGTTATAAAATTGCATCCTATTTTCCAATATATATTTTACCCTATTTCACAAAGCTAATATATTTAATATATATTTTACCCTGTTTCACAAAGCTAGTATATTTACCTTCATTTTTCTTGATAGTGAAATTCGGATTGTTGACCATTTCTGGAAGAAGACTGTATAAGAAATAATGTCCATTTTTGGGATCATCTTTGTCCATAGCGCTTACTGTTTGAATGACCTGTAACATAAAACTTGACGTCAGCATTTCCGATGACATCAGATGGCTCCAACTGCCTTTAAAAGCTTAATGACATCCCTTTTGTTGTCTGATACTTCGGCCCCCAAAACTCCTTTTTTTAGCTTTCTCAATTGTCATGGATCGTTTGCGCCAAGAATAAGAAGAGTTTATCACTTTCATACCTCAGCTTTGATAAGTTGACAAAAATTAAGAGCATTACTTTTGTGTCCGTTCACTGTCTGTGGCTTGAGATAGCAAAGTTAAGTGTATTTGAAAATTCTAATGGGCAATTACAGATTTCTTTCCAATTTGAGTGTTTACAGGCATCTAGAATGAGATTCAGAATTGTTACAGTGATTGTGGTATGGCTTTTGGGAGCATCTTGGAGTTGAAGGACTTAAATTTTGAATTCTCACATCTCTTCTTTCATTTTACTCATCAGGTTATGAGTGTTTGCCAAATAGAGTGCTCCTCAACACAAATATTACTGCAACAAACCTTTCCGATGAGTTGCATCTGTTCCCTTGCAATAATGAATACTGTTTTTAAAGCCAGTGGATAACACATGCAAATAATGCTTTGGAGTGTATCCTGAGATGAATAAATTATAAGGATTAGAAGAATTACCACTGTGCAGAGAACTGTTTGGATAGATACAGATACTTGGAATCGGTGCCTGTGGAATGCGCTTGTTTCATTTGCCAATCTGCATTAACTTAACACTAAGTTGTTTCTTGGGATGTCAAAGAATTATCTTAATAATTCATATTTATGATTCTGTAATATTTATTGCTTCAGTGTGAAACACTGGACAAGAACTAATGTAGTAAATGTTATAGTTTATACTGCTACTGTAAATAAGTACTAAATAATTTATACAAAAAAATGCCAATGAAGCACAGTAGCCAAGGTCATAACAGATTTGGCATAAAAAATAGTAACAGTGAAATGCTCTCAGGTTTATGAAATTTAGAGAATATAACGATGATGCCTAACACATTATTTCTGTTTGAACAATTATATCCCACTGAACTTTGCCAATTTTATTGGAGAGAAAAAAATGGATTGCTTCATTTTGAGAAAGGGTCATCATTGCTTTGTAACTTACTTCCTAAACAATGTGAAAACAACAATTTCAGAACTTTTAGCAACTATGGGGTTTTGCATTGTATCAAGCACACAGTCTGTAATGACAGACTGTGCATTAAAGTTCTTTGAGGCAAAAATGAAATAACTTCTCTCAAGGTCTAGGTCTCCATTTCTAAAATTTAACATTTTTACTTTAATTTAACATTGTGACTTTGAAGGTATTTGGCTTTTGTTAAGAAACATGTTGACTATGTCTCATTACTAGCTAGTTATAATTGTACTTAGCTTGAGAGATAATACAACATAAAGTAGCACAAAAAATAACTCATGGGTACAACAGTTAAGTAGTCATTAAGAGTAAGGACTCTAGAATTAAGCTGCCTAGATAGAAGTCAAAGTTTTACCCTTTACTTGTTGTGTGATATTGAGGGAGTTACTTCACTCTTTCTGAAACTCAGTTTCCTTGTATGCCTAAAATACAAATAAAAAGAGTACTTTTTCTCATAGAGTTGCTTTAATTATTGATGTAAATTCTGGTTCCTAGTAAATATTCAATGAAATGTTAGATATAACCATTGATGTTGTTATTAAGGGCCATTGGTATTTATCAATGACATGATACTTTGATAAGTTTAACAACTTTGATGTTACCCAAACAGAGACTCAAACTGATCAGAGGAAAATGAAATTATATTTACTGTATCTAAACACACCACATATTTGCCTTGACCTTGAAGAGCAGAGAGAGGCCCTGGATTCTAGTTTCATAAAAATAAGCATGAATTAAAGTGCAAGGGGATAAGATGTGAAACATAGATAACTCTTTTGGACAGGCTGCATGCACAAATATTTAACAGAAAAGTATGAGTTGACCGCTTACTTTACCTAGAAATAACTGTGCCAGATTATTATGTTAGAAAGTCAAGGGAATAACTATCTTTGACAAGAGCTTTTTTTTTTTTTTTTTCTTTTTTTTTTGGGGGGCAGTTACAAAGAATAGAGGGGGAGGGGAAACAGTTGCTTATGAGCAGGTGTAGCAACCCCTCTGCCATTTACCCTACCTTGTCTCCATAGGACTTCTATTCTCAGGCACAACCCTTGAAGAAATAACTCTTGAAGCACATGCGTGCATGTGAAGAATAAGGGCAAGTGAAGAGAAAATTCTTGGTATTATGGGGTGGAGATCAGTCATATTTACATTCCTATAATAAACTTAGTTGATGAAGCTCCCATAAGTAATACCATTCATAATATTTCTAAGCAATCTTCAAGAAAAAGTCTCCTACATCTATGCACTAGTGAGTACATCCAAATGAGAGTTATTTGATTAGCTAAGCCACCATGACCAAAACAAAAGTTGCAATAATTTAGGTTACCTGTAGTAAAGGTACATAACTACCTGCCATAACACATCTCAAAAGTTTGGTCTAAACATCACACCATAAATGAATATGTCTTTTCCTCCATTTATTTAAAGCTAGGAACTCATTAAACAATTTCTCAATCCTCACCACAGAACTACTGAACTAGAAAGTCTCAGGGTAGGGGCTAGCAGCAAACTGCATTTTCAACAGTCTTCTGGGTGATTCTGGTGCATGCTCAAGTCTGAGAACCACTGTTTTGAGCTAAGGGAATGGACTAATGTTCACGGATCGGCTCCCTCATCATTATTTATTAAGCAAGTTTGTATTGTCAAGTTCACATCAAAACTCAGTGCAGGATGAGTTGAAGAGAAAGTGGTTAAAATGGCAAATCTTTAAATCATCTTCTAAATATCCCATAAACTGGCTATAGTTAAGATTTTTGGTCAAACCATGTTTGACCCTTCATTTTACTTAAATGCCGATAGTCATTGTCGAGCATTTTATCTAAAAGTAGATGCCCGGTAGATCACTTGAAGGACTTTATGCCATTAAAATGCATACTAATAACATACCCATACTAATAAGGCTGACATTTTTATTGGTGTAATAACTTCTGAATACACTTAACTTTAAACAGTAGGCGTGGGGAAGAAAAACATTTATTGAAGGAAATGCACCTCCACAGAAGCAGATTGTATAGACATACTAAGTAGATGACAAATGGAAACCACAAAATATTCGCTCTGTAAGTGGCTATGATCTCAGTTGATTTTTAAAATAATTAGACAACTATTTCATGGGAATAGTATAAAAATTTCTGGAGAGGCAATGGAATTTTAGGAATATACATCTAACTTTCAGTTTAAATATTTTCCTTTCTACTGATAAAGTTAGGATGCAACTGAAAAATCAAATGTTTGGTAATTTATTGCAATTTTGTTTTCAATTTCCAGGGAAACTGAAAGCAAAATATCTATCTCTATGAGAAGAAAATAAAAACATATCTGGGGTGCTGGGATGATGAAATGATTTCCAGGGTCATGTTTGGATTTTGATGGGAGCAGACTTTGTTCTATTTCTTGAGACTGCAGATTTGAAATCAAATAACCTTTCTAAGGCATGCAATTGAAAAATAAATAAATAAAAATTGTGTGTCATATCATAATTCTGACTCAGAAAATGTCTTTTAACTGTTTATTAATAATTTTAAATGTAAATCAGATTGTTTTTGTTAGCAGAACTTATTAAACTTTATTTTGGACTATTTCACATTAACTCAAAAATATTTAATAGCAGCAGGGTATCACTGCCATTATTATCTTTTGAAAAGGCAAGCAGTCAGCAAATGAATACTTTTCTAATGATCTGATCTGCTAACAAGCATAACAGTATCGTGGGATCTATGAGAAAATCCCCCATGAGTTTCTGTAGATATTATTTATTGATTTGTTCTTAGGTGCCAGGCATAATAATGTATGAAATTCTCCCCCCTCCACACACACTGATATTAAAACAATGCCTGGCACATGGAAACTGTTTAATATGTACTGGCTAAATCAATTAATAGATTGGTGAATAAATAAGTGATGGCAGATACATTTTTCATCATCACTAATTCTCACAATACTTTTATAGGTAAGTATTAAGAGACTTATCAGCACCATGCCTCAAAGACATTAAGTATAATTTCTGATACCAGATATGCCTAATTAAAAATTCCCTGCACACCCATCTCCCCAATATGCCAAGCTGCCTCAAAATCTTGTTGTTCATACTTTCTGTATATGTGTTTCAGTTCAATTGTGGCTTAGACCTTCAATATTTTGGAGAGCGTGTAAGAATTATTCATTCATCCTTGATGCTCATGTACTTTGCTTTAGCAGCATAAAAGGGTCCCTATTGAATCAGACCTGTAAAATGCACAAGAAAATGAAAATTTAGAAGTCATAGTTCTCTCTACGTGTTGACAAAGTGAGAGAGGACTATTCTGTTGCAACTTTTGGAATATTCTCCAAGACTTCTGGAATGTTTATCTAGTCTCTAGGAAGATTTGGCAATGACGGCCAACATGGTATCTGCAGTTGAAGCACACTGTCACTTTCTCAGCTAAAACTTAATTTCCTTTTCTTGGCATTCTTTGGTAGAAATGTGAATTGGAATTTGATAGAAAGAGGGTGAATGAAAGGAGGAGAAGTTGAGATCAGTGCAGAAGAGATAGCAATATATTACATTTTCTATTGATTCTTCTATTATTGTCAGTTCATTTATTATCAATATTTACTTAACCTGAATTTTTTAGAGCAGTATTTTTAAACTTAGTGAAGAAAAGAATGGATCCATGAATGAGCTTCATATGGCTTGCATTCCTCAACTTGAAAGTGAAATAGTATGAAATTATTTATAATATGCACATATGTGAGGGGAGAGTGCATGGCTTTTACCAGATTATAAATGGTGTCCATAACTGAATGAAACAAAAAGTAAATTAAAAATTAATTCTTAAAAGACAGGTCTTTGAAAATAGGAATTATGCACACAAGACAAATC